GACCCCCTCGTCACGCCCATGGGACCCATCAGCCGCTTCGGGGGCTCAGCCCACAACATCTTGCAGTGCGCCATCATCCAGGACAGCAACATGATGAGCCTCAAGGCCATGTCCTTCTCCGACGGCGGCAACAAGATCCTCAACCCCAGCAAAGCTCCCCACCACCACGCCGCCGAGAAGACCACTTGCATCCGTTCGCCCATCTCCACGGATGAATCCACCATCCAGGAGCTGGAGCAGAAACTGCTAGAGAGGGAGGGAGAGCTGCAGGAGCTTCAGTTGAGCTTCGAGGAGAAGGAAGTCAGTTCCTGCCAGGCTTATGAAGAGAAGCAGCGGCGCTGCAAGGAAGAGCTGGAGGGCCTCAAGCAGAAATGCAACAGCAAGCTCAAGCAAACCTCACAGAAGACCCAGAGGACACAGCAGGTCCTTCATCTCCAGGTGTTCCAGCTGCAGCAGGAGAAGAAGCAGCTCCGAGAGGAGCTGGAGAACCTCATGAAAGAGCAAAATCTGCTGGAGACCAAGCTGAGGTCCTACGAGAAGGAGAAGACCAGCTTTGCCCCAGCGCTAGAGGAGACCCAGTGGGAGGTAAGTGGCCCTGGAGCACCAAGAGATACCTTGGGCCAGCCGTGCTGACAGGAGAGGTGTGCATGGGAGGGGAGAGCTCCGACACCACCCATAAACCCGGCAGCGCTGCCGCTGCATCCAGCAGCCCCACGGAGGGGCTGAGCAGAGCAGATGGTGCACACACTAAGCTCAGGCTGTACAAGGTAGATATCGAAGCCGAAGAGAGCCAGTCTGTCACGTGGAGGCTCTGCAGGTTGTAATCGAGTGACTCGCTGCCCCTCTTAAACCCTCAGCAGTTCACATCGTATAAGGAAGCAACTGCTGCATAAAATCCCAGTCATTAAAATAACGTCACGTTTCCAACCTCCAGCACAGGGTTTTTCAGGCTGCCTGCCCCAAAGGAGTGGTAAAGCTGCCTTCCCACACATAAATAGGAACCACTTGGACTTGCCGTGGTCATTTATTAGAGAGCAGTAAAACCTTCCACTCTCTCCTTAAGCTTAATTTTCTCACTGATTGGGTATCACCAAACAAGCACTGTTAAACTGCTGAAAATTCAGAAACAAGCCTGCTCACCTGCCTGGAAAAAAGAAAAAAAAGCAACACACACCACTATGGTTGCGCTGGGAGGAGCATCACTGTGCTTTGAGCTGAGCGTGGTGGTCAGCTTTGCTCCCTCACGTGCAAGGATTTCCTCACACCACCCTGGGGATCTCTAGTTTATTTGCATTTTCGAGCAACTTTTCCAGGCTGTTTGCAGGCTCTACCGAAATTGCAGCTGCAGGGCCCCACCCAGCACAGCTGGATGCCAACTCCCAACAGCTGTCTCTGGCTTTAGGCTCCTAGGGGGATGCTCGGGTGGGATCTCCACGCTTTGCTCCCAGTTGGGGTTTTGCGGGGTGCAGCTGGGGGCCTGCCTGCGAAACGACCTCGGCGAGTTTAACTGTCCCTGGGAGCCATCGGCGGCGGTTTCAGCAAATGTGGTGGACGGGGCGTTGAGACCTGAGCAGCTCCTCGACACCCTCCATGTCCACACCTCAGCTGAGGGCTCTTGGCTCCTTAAATCCTCACGGCTGTTCACTGGCAGCTCTCGGTGTCAGCTGGGGTGTTGATGCATGGAGAATGTGGGGTCCCCTCGAGCCTCCTGAGAGCCCGGGGCATCGTTCTTTGTGCTGGAGCATCTCCCTAGACGGGATTTCATGGCCAGGGTCTCCACATACTGAATCCCAGCTGTGCCCAGCAGGTTACCTGGGGCAGTGGGGGCTTTCTCCGAGGCACAGCCCTAACCTGGGTGCTGCATCCCTCCCCACAGGTGTGCCAGAAGTCAGGGGAGATCTCCCTCCTGAAGCAGCAGCTGAAGGAGTCCCAGACGGAGCTCAACACCAAGACCACTGAGATTCTCAGCCTGAAGGCTCAGCTGAAGGAGGTGAGGGTGAAGATGGAAGGGCTGGAGATGAAGACCCAGGACCTGGAGGGCTCCCTGCGCACCAAAGCCATGGAGCTGGAGGTGTGCGAGAACGAGCTCCAGCGCAAGAAGAACGAGTCGGAGCTGCTGCGGGAGAAGGTGAACCTGCTGGAGCAGGAGATTGTGGACCTGCGGACGGAGCTGGCCGTCCTCAAGGAGCAGCTGAGTGAAGCCCGAGAAGTGGCCAGACCCTGCGCCCTGGTGGACGATGCTCAAGCCCTGCAGGGAGAAGTGGAGAGGCTGAGGGCAGAGCTGAAGGCTGAGCAGGACAACAACGAGCAGATGACCTCCAGCTTCCAGCACGAGCGGCAGACGTGGAAGGAGGAGAAGGAGAAGGTGATTCACTACCAGAAGCAACTGCAGCAGAGCTACCTGCACATGTACAAGAGGAACCAGAACCTGGAGAAGATGCTCCAGCAGCTTGCCGCGGGGGAAGATGGCAAGGAGCCCATCGAGCTGAACATACCCGGCGCCGACGTCCCCTACGAGGACATCATCGCCACCGAGATCTGAGCCAGGTCTGCCTTCTCCTCTGTGCAGCTCGGGGGCTGGCGTCTCTTCCAGGCGAGGAGCGCTGCCCTTCAGCTCGTCCCACGCCTTGTACAGTTGAGATGAGCCATGTATTTATTAGCGGAGCTGG